ACAAGATCTAAAACAAGTCATTTCAGCATGTCAAAGTCAAATTTATTCCTATCAGATATATTTTACCAACAACAAAAGTGTGGCTAGTGAAAATGCAGAGTGGCTAGTAATGTTGGAAATCTACTAGCCACAGTGGCTGCTGATCAAATAGTTCATGTCAAGCCCTGCTAACTATGTTTAGATATTTGGACCAGAAACGAGACACAGAATAATAGGACAAGCAGTTTTGCATTGTGATTATTCAATTTCTGTCGCTGGACACTGCTGGACTGCCCAGACAACTGTCAAAGCTATTCACATCTAGGCATGGGCCGGTATAATATTCTGATGGTATGATGACCAAGGATAAAAATATCCCGGTGTCATGGTATTATGATTACTGCTCTACAATACGTTATTTTAATTGTCCGGGTTAAAAAGAACAACATTTCCTCCACTGAACACAATACATTTAATTTAAGAAACATTTAATATATTTAGGAACGGTAGTGTTTGATGAGGATGCTCCTCTTCAGCTGGAGATACTGTTGCCATAATAAACTAAATAAATAGTAGTAAAAAACACTAATAATAAAACAAGCTTATATAATCGCAGGAACAGCATAACAGAATGTTTCGGTGGTTTTTGAAACCTTGATGTTTCCAAACCGTGGTATAAACCTGGAAGACGGTGATCGCCCCATGCCTGTTCACATCACAATATTGATCACAGAAAACAAAACCTGGCAACATCAGATTTGTGCTCTATAGCACAGCCCTGATCAGTCCAGTGTTGAGTGTGGGCACCTGGCAGCTCCAGCGGCACACAGGAGGGCTTGAGCTCGGCCTCCTCCAGACTCTCACCCAGCGGGATGCAGGCGTTCTGGACAAACTCAACCAACAGCTGCACACACACACACACACAGAGAGAGACACACACACACACTGCTGAACAATGCATAAATCTACAACTATCCTATATACAGTTGAACTTTATTCACCCCTCAGTTTATTTTACCCCAATTTCTGTTTATCAGAGAGCAGATTTCTCCAACACATTTCTAATCATAACAGTGTTAATAACTCATCTCTAATAACTGGTTTAGTTTCTCTTTGTCATGATGACAGAAAATAATATTAGACTAGATATTCTTCAAGACACTTCTATACATTTGAAGGCTTAACTAGGGTAATTAGGGTACCTTAGTAGGTTAGGGTAATTAGCAGGGCTAATTTTGCGGACGTTTTATCTATTTCTGCGGAGAATTTTGGTAAAAATCTGCGGATTTCTGCGGAATTATTTTGGGAGTATCCAGCAGAGTATAATAACTAAAACCTTAATATATTAAATAAAAAGTAATAAATTACTGAATAAAAACTGAATAAATTCAGATTTACAAATTTACTCAAGTTAAAAAACAGAATTAATAATGGGCTAAAAATGTGCAGAAATTCTGCTGAATTCTGCGCGCGCAGATTCTGTGTGGGCCTAGTAATTAGGCAAGTTATTGTATAACGATGGTTTGTTCTGTAGACTATCGAAAATAAAATATAGCTAATAATATTGACCTTAAAATTGTGTTTAAAAAATTAAAAACTGCTTTTATTCTAGCCGAAATAAAACAATTAAGACTTTCTCCAGAAGAACAAATATTATCAGACAAACTGTGAAAATTTCCTCAATCTGTTCAACATCATTTGGGAAATATTTAAAAAAGAAAACAAAATTCCAAGGGGGCGAATAATTCTGACATATATATATATATATATATATATATATATATATATATATACAGTTAAAGACAAAATTATTCAACATTGTCTTTCTATCTCAAATGTTTCTCAGTGTTTCTTATAATGGACACGTTTAACTCTCATCAGCATCTTAAATCCTTCAACATTGTTAATTGAACACTTATCTGTATTCATGTGTGTTTTAGATCATCTTTGCATCAAATTGCAATAAGCGAATAAGCGGATCGTGTATGTGAGCTGTGTGTGTGTGTACTGCAGTATGTGTGTGTGCAGGACAGTAAATCTGCCATGATTCTCTCCTCTGGCTGCTGTTATCAGTCTCTCAATAGCTGTGTTTCCACTATCATGCCAAAAGCGAGCGAGCCAGGGCGAGCCAAGGCCAGTCGCCTTTCTAGTGTCATATCCGGGGCCTAATCGGGCTAAATCGGGGCTTTCTCAGGGCCAGCGGCCGGCCTTTTTCAGCCCGCCGAATACCTTGGGCCAAAGAGGGCCAGCTAGGGCTTGGGGGCGAAGTGAAAGGAGAGGCGGAGTGTGGACACAGTCTTCTGATCACACACGAGTACATGCGCCAAACAAATAATGTTTGTGTATGATCACCGTTATGTTTCTCTTTTAAATGTAAGGCTGTTGCATAAAATAATAAAGTAGTTTTCATTTATAGTGACTTTTCTTTGCTGCGTCCTCCTTTATGTTTAATAACGCAGAATAATCTTTACAGCATATTAAACACACAGCAGACAGTAAAGCTTTTCCAGAGTTTTTGTCAAGTTTAAAAGGTGTGTTTGTGCGCGTTTAGATGCCTGTATGTGTGTGTGTGAGAAGAGGAAAAGAGCGCTCCCTTCACAGCTCTGTTGATGCCGCACGGCTTTTTTATTTTTGCTATTTATTTTGGAGATAAACACAATATAAACACAACAGAAAGACATGAAACTTTACATATTTCGTGTCCACTTCTGTAGGCTCAAAACAATATAGTGTCATATCTAGATAAAATAGCCTGAGCTATATTGAAATCATTTAAAGAATTACAAATATCAGACATAATAAAATCCCATTAAATAAATAAACCAATATAAAACTAACAAAAGCTAAACCAGTTTAGGCATGTACAATACATACATCAAACTGTTATTAAGCCATATTAAACTGGAGAAGGTTTGAAATATTATTTATAAAGTATTTGGATACGATGATATTAATCAAATCATGCGAACAGAGCATTATTGGGGTGAGTGAAGCAGAAACTAGGCAACTTTTTTCTGTAGGCTAGACTCTCTTTCCTAAATACATGAAGAGCTTTATTAGTGGATAGCTGCTGAGCACAATGAAACACAGGCTATATTGTATTACCTGCTCTTATGTGCTGAAACACTGAACACTTTCCTTAATTATCCTTAAATAAAGGGGAATCCCCTATTAAGTGTCATATAGCCTATCGGACAAATGAATCAGGTCTCTCTGGAGCATTTGTGCTGAATGTTTGACGGCGTCTATCTAAACGAGGATGTTATAAAACACATTTCCTTTTTTCTTTCCATTTTTCTGTCTTTATTAACGCAGATCTCTGTGGTTTTATATTATGGATTAGTGCGTTCATTGCGCTGCGTCCCTCTGTTAGTGGCGAGTGAGTAAATGAATATGATGAATGGGAACACACAGGTCTGTGCGTATAGACATATCATGTGCTGCTGTACAGTAACGGCTCATTTGTTTGTGTCGGTTGTCTTCATTTGAATGGTTTGGTGATGCTGTGATGGTGTGCTTTATCTGCCTGATTCCCACTGAAGTGGGCGGGTTGTGAGACGTTCGATTCGTGGGATGTTCTGGGGGCGGGGTTTGCGTGATGCGCTGTGAGCTACTAGCCCGACAGTGGAAACTCGACATGATTTCAGCCTCACTGCTCAACCTCCCGGGCGATTGGCCCGGCTTGATTAAAGCCCTGACTCACACTGGCCCGACAGTGGAAATGCGGCTACTGTTGTTTTCCTCTTCTGAAAGTCTTGATGACACCATTCAGAGTTCCTCAAATCTGATTGTAGAATAATGTTGAATCCTGATGTGTGCTGCTCTCCTACTCACTGCGCTGAGTTTACACACTGTGACCACTGAGGCAACCACTGAGCCACCGTGCAGCCCTATGAAGGGAAAGGTGGAGGAGTAGGGGTGGAAGGGGGGATTCTTCAAATCGAAGACGACAGTAGTGAGAAACCCTGACTCTTTATGGTAGTTAGTGATCGTCTGATTGGTGGATCATGCATTAGTTAATGCGGGACCGGCTGTGGTCAATCATAATCACGTGATCCTCTCGACATTACTTTATAAATAAACTTCCCTTATCTATTCACTGATGTAAATGTGTGTAAATATATTGATTTCAGTAATGTTACAGAATAATATTGTTTTATATTGTTTATGCACAGTAGTCATGTTTTCTGTCTGTCTTTAGGTTATAAGTGAGATTGCTTTGTTTACCAAACAGCTGGATCTCACTGAACTTGCATTATAAAAATTAACATATTTTATTTCATGTTTTAAATCGATAAACTCCCAGTAAATCCACAGATTTTATACAAAATACTGCACAAACCGCTAAAATGTCTGCAGATTCAATCTGGCCCTGAATATTTCTTTCAGTTCGGCTAGAATAAAAGCTGTTTTTAATTGTTTTTTTAATTATTATTATTTTTTAGGGGTTTTCACCTTTATTTGATAGGACAGTCGAGAATTGACAGGAAAGCATGGGTAACAGATAGGTGAAGGATCGGCATAGGACCGCAAGGCGGAATCGAACTTGGGTTGCCGCGAGCACCGGAATGCATGTATCGACGCACTAACCACTACACCACTGGCGCCGACAGTTTTTAATAGTTTTAAAGCCATTTTAAGCTCAATATTATTGGCCCCTTCAGCAATATTAGTGTTGGATTGTCTCCAGAACAAACCACTGTTATACAATGACTTGCCTAATTACCCTAACTTTACCCTAATTACCCTAGTGAAGCCTTTACATGCCACTGTAAGCTGAACACTAGTGTCTTGAAGAATATCTAGACTAATATTATGTGCTGTCATCATGACAAAGAGGAAATAAATCAGTTATTAGAGATGAGTTATTAACACTGTTATCATTAGAAATGTGCTGGAGAAATCTGCTCTCTGTTAAACATCATATTGGAAATATTTTTAAAAGAATATGAATGTGTGATAACTCAGACATCATCTGGATATATTATGAGGATGGTGGCTGAATGATGAGTGTGTGTGTGTGTGTGTGTGTGGTCATCTGTACCTCAGGTTTGGAGTCCAGCTCATCAGAAAGCATGGAGTCAGCGTCAGGAGATCTGCGGACATCAGAGACCATCAATACACCATCTTCATCATCATCAGCAGCAGCAGCGGATCAGTGTGTGTGTGTGTGTGTGTGTGTGTGTGTGTGTGTGTGTGTGTGTACCGGCTCAGCTGATCATGTGTGCTCTGGTCAGAGAAAGAAGCAGCTGTCCATCCTCACCGTCACTGATCAATCACCACAGCTGAGACCTGATCAATAATCAATACAAGATAAATCAGTCAGTACATCTCAGACAACACACACACACACACACACAGCAACATCACTGAACACACACTCAGATCTCCAATACCCGAGCAGTGTGTTCACTACTGAAGGTCTGAGGGCGACAGTAAAGCAGAGCAGTCTGACATTCACTCTTCATCTGAGCTGTTCTGCAGCACACACCCTGCATGATGATGATGATGATGATGATGTCTACAGGAATATTTAGCATGTCATCTGCATATTACATCTGAATATTCGCCCAGAGCTCAGCAGTGACCTGTAAAGCCCCTGTTCAGCTCTCGGAGGCCTCGGGCAGACAGTGAAGCGGACTGTGGTCAGTGTCTGAGCCTCGGCTGTGCGGTTGGTGATGTCTGAGAGCTCTGCAGATGACGGACTCCTCATCAACACAGCAGCACGGATCAGTCCGCGCTATCTAGAGCTCAAACCACCGCCATCCCGCTCTCTCTGCTGCACATTAATCATCATATTCATCTCTCAATCATCATGTTCATCCACATCAGCTGGACTTACCTGCATCGCGGACTCTGACACTCTGCAGCACAGATAAACACAAACACAAAGACGCGGAGAGTCACTTCCGGGTGACCGGATGTACTTCCGCTGATACTAATGACTCGCTGATCGAGCAGAGAGATGGAGAGGAGATTCATCATGAGTAAAACACCGTTATGGTTTAACAGAAACACCGGGCTTCATTTCAGCGGGAAACCGATTCACTGCGTCTTTAAGAAGAATCGGTTTAGTAGAAGCAAAGAGCATAGAATCACCATTCTAAGCTCTTTGGTAGAAGGAGATTCTATTCGAGTCACAAGCGGGGTTCTCGATTCCTTTGAACAGAATCTTTCTGAAAGCCAAACGATTTTCAAATATATATATATATATATATATATATATATATATATATATATATATATATATATATATATATATATATATATATCAGGGGCGCCTCCAAGGGGTGGCCAGGGGTGGCCACGGCCACCCCTCGGTAAACTCTGGCCACCCCTTTGGCCACCCCAATATAATTTTGCGGTTGACATTAATGATTTAAATGAACTCATAAATTCCCAATATTTAGATAAATAAATAAATAAAATGCAGTCACTAAATTATTGTTGGTGTTACTGACGTAGCTCTCCCCCTCTGGTTCAATGCTGGTGAAAGCAAACTGACGTATGCACGCGGAAAACCATTCCCGCCGCCTCACGCACTCCTGTGTGAATCCCGGTTGGTTGTTTGCATGCACGCCGACATAATAGGCACCGCTCATGCGCCGTGAAACCGGAGTAACAGCCTTTTGTGCAGAAGTGTCGGCACACAGTGAGTTTTGAAAGTCGTTTAAAGTTTATATAATATGATGATGATGATGATGATGATGATGTTACTTTCACTAAGCATGCCTTTAAAGCAGAAAGGAGGGATAATGAGTCAGGGAGGTAAGATTCATAACATGATTTCTCAGCCATGATCTGGTCTAAGATCACAGATAATTCTATAATACATTTTTTGTATTCTTTAGAATTGTCATAATTAATTTTCATGCAAAAGGTTTCTTAAGTGATGTTGGCATATAACTCCAGTTGTTGTTTTCCAGTAATATTTAGGACTGATTTCTTTTATTTATTTAGAATAATAATTGTATATTAATATTAATTGTATTTATTTAGAATAAATATAAATAAATTGTTATATTTATTGAATAACAAATCTAACAATTCAAGAGAGGTGGGGGTGTATAGGGTGGTTCGCCCAGGGTGTCATTTAAACTAGAACCACCACTACTACCCTCCCCGATCGTCCTTGACAGCACGCACACACCTTCAATAGACAGCAATGGCTATTTAATATTTACCTTAAGCTACAGTATATCAATAGAAGAAGCTGCATTAATAAAATGGTTCAAAAAGCAATATGGATAAATGATATTATTTGGTATAGTGAGTGTGTATAGTAATCCCTTTTGTTCAGTTTGTTCATTTGTTTGGGTAATTAATAAACTCATTATTCTTTCATTAATTTTCTTTTCGGCTTAGTCCCTTTATTAATCCAGGGTCACCACAGCAGAATGAACCGCCAACTTATCTAGCACATTTTGACACAGTGGATGCCCTTCCAGCTGCAACCCATCTCTGGGAATAATAAACTTATTAATCTTCATTAATTTTAGACATGGCATATCTCGTATGATGTACAATAAAGGCACGTAAAAAAAGAAGTTATTTATACAGTATATGAAAAGTGTTTTTAAAATAAACATAGATTTTTTATTTGGTTTGCACATGTACTTGCTGAATTATTTCAAAGAATAAATTGCAATATTTCAAGTAGAATTAATTAAATTAATAAAAACTACAATATTTCATTTACCAGAAACAAAAATATATCATTACACTGAATTCATTATTTTTTTTGTGTGCCACCCCAAGATTTGGTGCGGCCTCTTCTGGCCACCCCTAAGAAAATTTTCTGGGGGCGCCACTGATATAGATATATATATATATATATATATATATATATAAAGTGTTATATTCTTAACATAAATATAAAACAATATTATAAGTCTTTCTCCTTCAAAATGTTAAGCTTACCTTAATGTAAAACACAAAATTTACTAACATTTCTCCGTTTCTAACATATTTCACTACAGTATTTTATAGAGCTATTTTAACCAAAACAATGAGCTTCGTTTCGGCTGTCAACTGAATCAGTTCAATTGAATCGGTTTCAAAGAAGAATCAGGTAACATTACCGGAACCTCGATCGAATCACAAAGCGGCGCTGTCGACTCTTATGAACAGAATCTAACATTTGTTTTATTCGTAATTGTGGAATTTACTACAAATTTCAATTTCTAACTACATTTACACTGCCATTACTTGACAGATTTGAAGATAAACACCATAAACACTGATTAACAGAGTCTAGATTAAAAAGAATATGAATCAGACATTACTGGAGATTCAATTGAATCAAATATCAGAGCTCTCGAGTCTTTTGAACAGAATCATTCTCAAAGCCAGTTATATATACATTTTAAAGTGTTGATGTGTTAGAAAATACTTCACTGGCCCCTGTAAATGTGAATTTTACTACCAATTTACTACTGAACGCTGTTTTCACACCAGATTGTTTCTCAGTGTGCATGATTTCTGTCAATAAAAATCCATTTAATTAATCATTTTACTATTAAAATGATCCGTAATTTAATGATTACATTTTTTTACTTGAGAAAAATAAATTATTTAGTTGTTGACTTTAATATTTATGAAATAAAATCTGTTACTTCTGTGTGGAGTTTGCATGTTCTCCCCGTGTTGGTGTGGGTTTCCTCCGGGTGCTCCGGTTTCCCCCACAGTCCAAACACATGCACTATAGGGGAACTGATCAAATACACTGGCTGTAGTGTATGAGTGTGTGAATGAGTGTGTATGGGTGTTTCCCAGTACAGGGTTGCAGCTAGAAGGGCATCTGCTGTGTAAAACATATTCTGGAATAGTTGGTGGTTCATTCCACAGTAGCAACCCCTGATTAGTAATGGAACTAAGCTGAAGGAAGATGAATGAATGTAATTGTACACAGATCTCCAGAGACACATTTGACGTTTGGAATTATTTTAATAACGTTTTGCCATGAAAACAGTGGACAGTGTATTATTCAGTAAACCCTCTCACAGTTTAAAGAAGCAAACAAAAAATAATAATACAAATAATATTAATAAAAAAGATGATAAAATGACACGTAAACACACACACACAGAGTCAGATCAGGATGATCAGCCACAGCTTTGGCTTTGCTTAGCTGATGAATGTGGATGTGTATGCAGATCTCTTCACACAGACATGTTAAAAGTAAAAAACCAAACACACAAACACAGACGCCTTCACAGTTCTGCTCTACACACACTTCGGGCTGTCTCCTCCACAACACTCATTTCACTGTCAATGGCAGCTAATAAAACCTTCACACTCACAAAAAACCAACAACACAAAGTCTGCAGAGAGTATATGTGTGTGTGTGTGTGTCGCTTCACAATGCTCTATGATCCATGATCTATGTTATTCTGCATCAGTTACAGAAGCTTTAATAAGAGTCGATGGTAAACACTTCATCAAAACTGATTATTCTTCATGATTCTTACTGAAACGCTCTGATCACTGCAAGGCGACGGCGTCACGAGAGGCCAAACTCTTCCTGTGCAATCAGATAAAAGGGAAACTCTGTTTTTAATATAATCATGATTAATAAATGCCTTTATTTTATTAACTTTTATAAAGTATAATGAATTAATGTATACAGCTATTATAATTAAAATGTAGCAGAATTAAATGTAATTTACACTAATGTTATTGTACGTCTCAGGTGTCAAACTCTGTCAAACAGCTCTGCAGTTTAGCTCGAGCCCTGCTTCATCACTCACCTGTAGGTTTCATACAAGCCTGAAGCACTCATTAGTATGATCAGGTGTGTTTAATTAGGACAGTGCAGAGCTGCGGCCCTCCAGGAGCTGAGTTTGACACCTGTGCTTTTCATAAGTTATTGTATTTAGAAATCATTTTTATTTTTAAACTATTCATTTTTTAAAGAATTTACATATGTATATACCAGTTATACACACATATATATGTATAATTTACAAATAAATAAAAGATTTCTAAACAAAAATAAATTATTAGTTATAAATTGCATTAAATATTCAGATTTATGCTAAACACTCTGCTTGAATTTGTGCAATCCAATTATTAATTTCTCCAAAAAAAATGCATGCAAATGAGTGCATATATAATTTCACAATAATTAGTGCATGTTTTGAAATAAAAAAGCTCATCATTTTTCCCGATCACTAGTTTATATCTCATGATCCAGAGTTTTCCTCAGAATTTGTGAGAAATCAAGTGAGAATTTCCTTATTTATTTTTATGCACGCTGTATTGCACTGCACAAAAGCACAGACACACACACACACACACGTATAGTCAGTGTATGAAATATGAAAGCTATATTATTATTATCATTATTAAACACGAGCAATGATTTTAGACATAAGAATGCAGCAGCTGCCACTGAAGCTGAGCCATCAGAAACAATGAGCGAGACTTCACTGAGTAGAAGGCAAGACGAGAGCAGGATCCTCTCTAACACACACACACACAAATAATGAGCACCATCAACAGCATTCTTTCTCATATCCATCCCATAATTCACCTTCACCTGCAGAGCCACTGCTATATGTATATTTATACTACCACTCTGCATTCTGATTGGCTGATGAGCAGTGAATTACTTCACAATCTGCTGAAATATCTGAAGGCGAGACACTGCAGGCTGCAGGTTTAATTCAGATCTCACTTGATTTTCTGGTAAACTGATATCTGGAGTGATCTCTGTGAATGGGATGTCTCAAAATCTGATTTCTATTCTGAAAAATGTATGCAAATTAGTGCATGTTTAGCATCATTTGCATATTTAAATCTAATGTGCTGTGATTGATCAACATTTTCCTCCATATTCAGCTGTGATGTCCTGCCTTAACAGTCCTTAGACAGACGAGAGATTTCAATACTGGCAAATTTGATTTGATTTTGCAGTGAAATCTGAGCTGAACTTTTACCATGTTCATGAGCTATAGGTCAGAGTGAGCTGAAAACCTGATTCTGCAGGAATAAAAAAGGCAAAATAGCAACTTCTGGATTTCACAATTAGACTTTCAGTCTCATAACTGCAAAACGTCCATGCTGAAATCTGCAAACTGCAATACCATTTCAAGAAAATAAAACAGCAGCAAATCTGAACTCAATTCAGACTTTTTCCCTCAGATTTAAAGCAAAAGTCATAATCAAGACATTCAAAGTTGCTAATTATTATCATTATTACGGTATCCTGTAGCAGCAGGACACTTTATTTCACTCATAGTCCACATTCTGTGATGCTAAAACACACATCTCGATCAGCAGGAACTGAAGCTATTAATGTGAATATTTCAGTGCTGAACGCGGACGGAGGCTCAATGCATTGATCTGTAAAGAGAGCGGCGTGTAAACCATTGATGTGCTGAACACGGTTAAGGCAGAAGCTTATTAAAGAGCGATGAACAACCGTCAGTCTGTTTTTACACCCTCAACATACAGTCACATGTATAATGCAGAATTATGCATCATAAAGCTGCACTGACTGATCCAGAAATGATTCTGCATTAGTTTTCTGAATGCATCGCTATTCTCCCTTTAACAGAATGACAGTGCAGTTGAGCAGCAGATGGCGCTGTTTGCTTCAAAACAGCTGTACTCTGCTTGCCTTTAATTCCTGACACACACCGCTTAAACCTAAATGATGCATAACATTTTTAAAGGCGTACATTTATTACATAACTGCTAAAAGTGAGTGTTTACATTAATCCCGTGGTGTTAGAGCAGATTACATTCATATTTCTTAAATATTTGCAAACAATGTAGATTATCAGATATATTTGCACGAGTTAATCCCTCTGTGGTGGTGGAAATACACTGAAAATGGTGTCTAAACTGCTGTGGTTATCTACTGCCATCGTTTACTGTTTATAAACTAGCCTAAAGCGCCATCTGCTGTTTATAAACTAGGCTAGAGCGCCATCTGCTGTTTATAAACTAGCCTAGAGCGCCATCTGCTGTTTATAAACTAGCCTAGAGCGCCATCAGCTGTTTATAAAACTAGCCTAGAGCGCCGTCTGCAGTTTATAAACTAGCCAAGAGCGTAGTCTGCTGTTTATAAACTAGCCTAGAGCGCCATCAGCTGTTTATAAAACTAGCCTAGAGCGCCATCTGCTGTTTATAAACTAGCCTAGAGCGCCATCAGCTGTTTATAAAACTAGCCTAAAGCGCCGTCTGCTGTTTATAAACTAGCCAAGAGCGTAGTCTGCTGTTTATAAACTAGCCTAGAGCGCGTTCTGCTATTTATAAGCTAGCCTAGATCGCCATCTGCTGTTTATAAACTAGCCTAGAGCGCCATCTGCTGTTTATGAACTAGCCTAGAGCGCCATCAGCTGTTTATAAAACTAGCCTAGAGCGTCGTCTGCTGTTTATAAACTAGCCAAGAGCGTCGTCTGCTGTTTAAAACTGGCCAAGAGCGCCATCAGTTGTTTATAAACTACCCTAGAGTGCCGTCTAACTGTTTATAAACTAGCCTAGAGCGCCATTTGCAGTTTAAAACTGGCCTAGCGCCATCTGCTGTTTATAAACTAGCCTAGAGTGCCATCTGGTGTTTATAAACTAGCCTAGAGCGCCGTCTAACTGTTTATAAACTAGCCTAGACCGTCATCTACTGTTTATACACTAGCCTAGAGAGCCGTCTAACTGTTTATAAACTAGCAGAGTGCCATTTGTTGTTTATAAGCTAGCCTAGAGCGCCATCTGCTGTTTTTAAACTAGACTGGAGCGCCATCTGCTGTTTATAAACTAGACTAGATTGCCACCTGCAGTTTAAAACTGGTCTAGAGTGCCATCTGCTGTTTATAAACTAGCCTAGAGCCCGTCTAACTGTTTATAAACTAGCCTAAAGCGTCGTCTGCTGTTTAAAACTAGCCTAGAGCGCCATCTACTGTTAATACACTAGCCTAGAGCGCCGTCTAACTGTTTATAAACTAGACTAGATTGCCATCTGCTGTTTAAAACTGGTCTAGAGCGCCATCTACTGTTTATACACTAGCCTAGAGCACCATCTGCCGTTTATAAACTAGCCTAGACTGCCATCTGCTATTTATAAACTAGCCTAGAGCGCAGTCTGCTGTTTATAAACTTGCTTAGAGCGCCATCTGCTGTTTATAAACTAGACTAGATCGCCATCTGCTGTTTATAAACTAGATTAGATCGCCATCTGCTGTTTATAAACTAGCCTATAGCGCCGTCTGCTGTTTATAAACTAGCCTAGAGCGCCATCTGCTGTTTATAAACTAGCCTATAGTGCCGTCTGCTGTTTATAAACTTGCTTAGAGCATCATCTGCTCTTTATAAAATGGCCTAGAGCGCCATCTGCTCTAAATAAACTAGCCTAGAGCGCCATCTGCTGTTTATAAACTAGCCTAGAGCGCCATCTGCTGTTTATAAACTTGCTTAAAGCATCATCTGCTCTTTATAAACTGGCCTAGAGCGCCATCTTCTCTAAATAAACTAGCCTAGAGCGCCATCTGGTGTTTATAAACTAGCCTAGAGCGCCATCTGCTGTTTATAAACTTGCTTAGAGCGCCATCTGCTCTTTAAAAACTGGCCTAAAGCGCCATCTGCTGTTAAAAACTAGCCTAGAGCGCCGTGTGCTGTTAAAACTAGTCTAGAATGTAGGATGTATCCAAATGTTTATATTTTATTATTGCAATAATGATATTAATGATAATTTATTTCACACACTATCATGTTATTTCTGTTATATACATACTTAACACTAGATGGCACTCTTGTGTTGAAGGGGCTGTTCACATGTCAGCCTGCAAGTCCATTATTACCGATGACACGTACATGCTTTCCAGGTGAACCCAGTTGAAAACATCTCAACTTTTCAGAATGTCGCATCGTGAATCACGGAATAAGAATTAACAATCAGCTTCATACTTGGTATGGAATATACACATTTCGATAGACTAATTAATTACTTCAGACAAACACAATGCACACAATAATAAAACCTGTGTCAACAATGTTTTGCTTGTCATCCTCTGAGAAAATTATTAATGGCAACGACAAAGGAGCGCGAGCGGAAGTGTGTTGCGATAAGTGAACAACTCATTATTTCAAAGACTCGACTGAAGTTATGAAGTGAATTTAAAGTCTAAAGCTGCATCTGAAGTCGCAGACATTCATAGTATTGTTAAACAGTATGTGAGAAGTTCCCGGCTGATCCATTACTTGCGGCGAGATTTTAAAGTGCGCATATAACGAACGTGACAATTTCCAATAATGCACTGCGAGAGAATTCAAGAAAGTGAGCGAATCGATGCAACTGACGCAGGGAGGTCATGTGATCATGACAAATAGAGACTATTAGCATGTAGCGTAAATATGTCTGTTGTTTTTAAACAGACTCGTCAATGCACTACTGTACTGCACACATGCTACTGTAATACGTCATTGCACAAACTGATTGTCGGTTTTATCATTATTATACTATTATATTATTATTTTGCGTACAATATCGACCTTCTATACTAGAACACCAATCTAAAGAGTCACGATGCATTCAGAAACATATCAGAATCGATCCAGGAGTCTCAGTCATGGACGTACACTGTAAAAATGCTTCTCTTGCTTACAGTTTTGTCTTGTTTCTAGTCTAGATATCAACAAACTCTTTAAACAAGAAGCACTTTCTAGACAAGCAGAGAATAGAGTGTTGTTTTCAGAAATGAAGAGGGTTTCTCCTTAATTCATGCAGAATAATCTGCCAATGGGGGAAGCAGAATAATGTTGTTGAAATATGATAATTCTGCTTCCCCCATTGGCAGATTATATAGCTGGTTTAAACTAAAACACACTTCATTTAACTCATTTCAGAAAACAAGAACTCCTCCTCCTCAACAAAACGCTTCTAGATTGAATAATTTGTACACATTTAGTCAGGACACGAGACCAACCGTCATCATCTTCATCATGATGATGTGTGGGTCTCCATGTCCGTCTGCAGCCGGCTCCAGATCTCCGCGTCCCCTGTCTGCAGCGCCTCCAGAAACAGCTCTGTGTGTTTGCGCAGGCGGTCCAGCTCCGTCTGCGTGCGCCGGTTTTGCCGGATTAGCTCTTTGGTGCGCAGCGTGATGTCCAGCAGACCGGATTTACTCAGGATGTTGTAGGTGTTGCAGAAACGTTTGGTTTTACTTTCCGTTTCAGAATGGAGCGGTATTGCTAGCGTGGATTGAGCTGCTAGCGTGCATTCAGTAGATTTAGATGCTAGTGTGCGCTCTGTGGATTGAGATGCTAGCGTGCATTCTGCTGTTTGAGATGCGAGCATGCATTCTGTGTCTTTAGCGCCATCTGCAGGCGTGTTTTGTGGATGTACAGAAGCAACTGGTGGTGTAGCGTCCGTTTGCCTGTGTTCGGTAGGATTGGAGGCAGAGCTCCTGATGGAGGAAGTGGAGCTGGAGCTGGACACTGAGCTGCTAGTGGAGCTCTTGTGTGGATGAGGAGCGATTCTGGCGTATGATTTGAGGATTGGCAGGTACTTCTTGTGCCGCCGGCGTTTGGAGAGTTGAGTTTTGGGTGTGTTTGAGCTTCTCTGTGGGACCACGGGCTGAAGGAACACCACCTGCGGCTGCTGGAGGACCTCCACTGCAGGACTGAACCATGGCTTCAAAGAAGCAGAGCTTTCAGAAGGCTGCAAACACACATGGATATTCAGATTAGACCAGAATAATAGTTCATATTCAGATTAGATGAGAATGATGATGCATATTCAGATTAGATGAGAATGATAATGCATATTCAGATTAGATGAGAATAATAATGCATATTCAGATTAGATGAGAATGATAATGCATATTCAGATTAGATGAGAATGATGATGCATATTCAGATTAAATGTGAATAATAATGCATATTTAGATTAGATGTAAATGATAATGCATATTCAGATTAGATGTGTTTGATAATGCATATTCAGATTAGACGTGAATAATAATGCATATTCAGATTAGATGTGAATAATAATGCATATTCAGATTAGATGAGAATGATAATGCATATTCAGATTAGATGTGAATAATAATGCATATTCAGATTAGATGTGAATAATAATGCATATTTAGATTAGATGAGAATGATAATGCATATTCAGATTAGATGTGAATAATAATGCATATTTAGATTAAATGAGAATGATAATGATAATGCATATTCAGATTAGATGAGAATGATAATGCATATTTAGATTAGATGAGAATGATAATGCATATTCAGATTAGATGAGAATGATAATGCATATTCAGATTAGACGTGAATGATAATGCATATTCAGATTAGATGTGAATAATAATGCATATTCAGATTAGATGAGAATGATAATGCATATTCAGATTAGATGTGAATAATAATGCATATTCAGATTAGATGTGAATAATAATGCATATTCAGATTAGATGTGAATAATAATGCATATTTAGATTAAATGAGAATGATAATGATAATGCATATTCAGATTAGATGAGAATGATAATGCATATTCAGATTAGATGAGAATGATAATGCATATTTAGATTAGATGAGAATGATAATGCATATTCAGATTAGATGAGAATGATAATGCATATTCAGATTAGACGTGAATGATAATGCATATTCAGATTAGATGTGAATAATAATGCATATTCAGATTAGATGAGAATGATAATGCATATTCAGATTAGATGTGAATAATAATGCATATTCAGATTAGATGTGAATAATAATGCATATTTAGATTAGATGAGAATGATAATGCATATTCAGATTAGATGTGAATAATAATGCATATTTAGATTAAATGAGAATGATAATGATAATGCATATTCAGATTAGATGAGAATGATAATGCATATTTAGATTAGATGAGAATGATAATGCATATTCAGATTAGATGATAATGCATATTCAGGTTAGATGAGAATGATAATGCATATTCAGATTAGATGAGAATGATAATGCATATTCAGGTTAGATGAGAATGATAATGCATATTCAGATTAGATGTGAATGATAATGCATATTCAGATGAGATGAGAATGATAATGCATATTTAGATTAGAAGTAAATGATAATGCATATTCAGATTAGATGTGAATAATAATGCATATTCAGATTAGATGTGAATAATAATGCATATTCAGATTAGATGTGAATAATAATGCATATTCAGATTAGATGAGAATGATAATGCATATTCAGATTAGAAGTAAATGATAATGCATATTTAGATTAGATGTGTTTGATAATGCATATTCAGATTAGACGTAAATAATAATGCATATTCAAATAAGATGAGAAAAATAATGCATATTCAGATTAGATGATAATGTTAATGCATATTCAGATTAGACGTGAATGATGCTTATTCAGATTAGAGCAGAATAATCATGCATACAATAGTAATGCATGAAAATAGTAATGCACATTCAGGTTAGATGAGAATAATAATGCATATTCAGATTAGATGTAAAAAATAATAACTTGTATATAAATTAGATATGAATAACGCATATTCAGATTGTGTGAATTATAATGCATATTCAGATTAGATGATAATAATAATGCATTTTTAGATTAGACATGAAAAATAACTCGTATTCAAATAAGACGTGAATAATAACGCATATTCAGGTTATATGTGATTAATATTATTATTTAGATTATTTGTGAATAAAAATTAATGCCTATTCAGATTATAGATAAATGTTGCAAATTTAGACATAATGCATAATAATGATGTATATTCAGATTAGACAAATGATAATGCATATTTAGATAATACGTAAATAATTATGTCTATTTAGATTAGACATGCATTATAATAGTGCATAGATTAGATGTAAATAATGCACATTCAGATTAAACATTAATAAAGCATATTCAGATTAGATGTAAATAATAACACATTCAAATTAGACATGAATATTAATGTATATTCAGATTGCACATGAACACATATTCAGATTAGACTTGAATAATAATCAGTCTGACCAAGGCCACCTGTCTATTTTAAAGGGATCATCATGAAAATAAATGATCTGAAAACAGTACCTAATAAAAATGGCATTTCTCATAGGAAACATTATATGGCAAGAATTACAGCAACACTCTATAGCCCCTTTCACACATACAGACCTTTCCGGAAAATTACCGGCAATTTTCCGGAAAGGTTGTATGTGTGAACAGGTCCTTTTTGAAAATACCGGTAAATTCGTTCTGGCTATTTTCCGGAAAGAGAAGTTGTAACATTACCGGCAATTTGCAGGAATGCTGCGCTGTGTGAACGCAGAAGGAATATTTCCGGAATAAGCGCGTGCACGCCTAGAACGTGCTGACGTAAGACTTCTGCTTTAGCCAATCACAACAGTCAGACGCATTTACGTCCGCGCGGTTTATGAGAATAAAAGCCTTTGAATATTTTTCCAGACGCATTTAGCTGCTAGAAGTTAGTCAGATAACGTTTATATGTTCTCCTTAATGCCAACTGTGCAAATAATCATCGATAAGATGCTTATGATAAGCCGTTGTTTGTTTACCTTCAAGCTTTGCGTGTGCCCATGAAACAGCCTGTGAGCGGCAGCACACGCACATATTATGAACATCTCGACATGCGAAAGTGATCCTGTGAAAGTTGTTCACAATATTGATCATCCACAGAGTTTGTAATGTAGTCAAATGTTTACAAACACAAGCGCAGCCGTTTAAAGCTCATTTGTGGTGAATGATGTCAGAATTTACCGGTATTTTGGAATGGATGTGTGAATGCTCTTTTCCGGAAAATTTCCGTAACGTCCTCGCCTGTGTGAACAGCGCTTTTTTGAACATACCGGTAAAGTCGTTCCGTAAATTTTCCGGATATTTTCCGGTATCACTGTGTGAAAGGGGCTAATGACAGTACAGTGTGTTCTCCCAGTGTGATGAAGGTGTGACGCTCACCTGATTAAGAACAACATTGTTCATGATGATCATTGGCTGCAAGCCCTGCAGAGCTCCGCCCACCACAGCAGTAAGCTGCGACGTATGCGGACGAGAATCATCATCTGCATCTGTCTGATCCACCGCACTGCTGTCTGTAACACATACACACACAGACAGAAGCAAACACACATAGTACACATGCATACACACACACACACACACACACACACACACACACACACAAAACACATGCGCACGCACAAACAAACAAACAAACATGCAAACATGCATGCATGCAAACACATACATGCACACAAACAAACAAACACACACAAACAGACAAACACAAACACACACACACACAGAGAGAGTCAGCTACAGGGCTTGACCATCAGAGAGTGGTGAGATGCAGTAACACACACCTGAGAAGCCTGAATCTCTCTCCGAGTCCTTCTTGGACTTCTCCATCCGTCTGTTTTTAAATCTGCCCATCGCCCTCAGGTGTGCTTCACCCTTCATCCTCTTCCTCCTCCTCCTCCGAACCGGCTTGAACACCTGAACATCAACAGAATGAGCCCAATAATGTCACGTCTGAACACACTCCTCAATAAAACCCATTCCACATCTGAATCTTCAGGACTGCTGTTGGTTCAGCTTACTAGAGCTTCATTAATGTAACCTTGTTATCAAAGTGTTACTAGAGGGATTATTATGGAGTTACTAATCACCATGTCTTGTTTATCAGTAGAGAATATACAGAATTAGAGTATTTTATATTAGAACCTGGGAGAAAGAGAATAATGCATCTTTGAAAATCCCACAACGATAGCACTTTAGAGTAAATACTGTAGTGTTTCTCAACCATACTACAGTAAAGCACCTGAATTAATCTGCAGTGGGGATTTTACAGTCGCTATGGTAGCACAACAACTATAGCATTTAATCTGTTGTGGTGATTCTACAGTTGCTATGGTAACACGAGACTATAGGATTTAGTGTTTTGTGGTGATTCTACAGTTGCTATGGTAACACAAGAGCTATAGTAATTTATCTGTTATGGCGATTCATGTTGCTACGGTAACACAACAACTACAGTATTTAATCTGTTGTAGTGATTCTACAGTTGCTATGGAAACACAACAGCTATAGTAATTAATCTGTTACGGCGATTCTCCTGTTGCTATGGTAACACAACAAGAACTTCGGTAATAGAAACAAACGAGCCAACACTGAGCTTTTCATCATCTGTAGGGTATTAGTTACTATTCTACAACACACCAATGTTTACTGTAGTAAAACTAAAGCATACTACAGTATTTATTAGTGTTTCAGTTCACTACAGTAATATGCTGCAGCATTTAATAACAATATTATGATGAACAGTATAATGGTTCAATAAATGTTTAAACCTTAACTAAATGCCAGGCGTTTTCATATTTCAATGAGATCTCCGCAATCATACCACACACAGAAGTAAAGATGATTTTCACCGCAGAAATAATGCATGTTATTATATAATTAGAGAACTCTTCAGTTTACATCACCGCTGTGTATATTGACGTTCCGGTGTCGTGACGTCATCAGGCCGAGCCGCGGCGTAAACCAGCTGACCCATTTAACGTTAATCTCCAGCGTCTCTGGTCGTCAGCTGTCAAAGATCTTATAATCTCGGTTGACATTTACCCGTGCTGGACGTTTATATTAATGTTTCATATCGTTATCCAATATTTAAACTCCAGTCATGGCGGTGCAGGCTAAAGCAAAGCAGCAGCCATCAACACTGCAGCTTTACCACGAGAAAAGCAGACGAGAGTCGCGCTTTATTCCCTCACACGCACCGATTTGCTGATTTATGTACTATTAATCTATTTATTGAGTGCAGAAGCAGCGGCGGACGGCTTACGTGTGAGCGCCGATGACCGACCGCTCATCCGGAGGGAATCCCGGTGAATGACGGCTCAAAACCCGGTATATCCGCGCTCCTCCACAAACCCGGTCAGTGAGATCGATCACAGCGGCGATTTTCACCGTTATTTGCCGATTTTTGGGTACGTCGGGTCGGTCAGACGCCCTGCTCAAACCCGTCACGCAAAACACGCTCACAGCCACGTGATTGACTCTTGAGCTCATGCAATCACAAACTACCAAACCCTCAGACTGACCAATCGCATCACAGGAGGCGGTGCTTACCGCAGTTCTGTTGTATGGATGGAAACGCATGCGCTCCTGACTGATTCCTTTTATGGAAACGCAAGGCGGCTCTAAGTAATCGCGTCAATCTCATTCTCGTCTCTGATTGGCTGAGCTGGAGCACTGAGCTATAAAACGTGACTGTCGGGTGACGTGAGAAGAGTGTTGAACACATTCATTATGTAACAGTGACATGACCTCATGTAACCTGCATTACGCTGATATTATTTTAATAGCAACTACAATAAATGATTCTCACCTATACACATTATATTTAAAAATTACACATGGTTTCATAATGTGTATGTTGTTGTGCTGTTTTTGTAAGAAGATTATTCCTAATGTCTTTTTCTGCTGTAATTACACTCATCTATAATGTGTTATTGATGAAATGTGCTGTTAATGTATGACTATAACTGATTATATATGGAGTGTGAGGTCTGGCCTATATATAAATGGACATGTATAACGTTATTATTCATTCAGTGATTTTCTTTTCAGCTTAGTCCCTTTATTAATCAGGGGTCGCCACAGCGGAATGAACCACCAACTAATCCAGCATATGTTTTACACAGCGGATGCTCTTTCAGCTGGGAAACACCCATACACTCTTGCATTCTCACACATACACTATTGCTTATTCAATTCCCCTACAGCACAGGGAAATTCAACAGTTCTGGGCCAGGATTGAACCAGAAATTAATGGTATTTTATCTATTATTATTGGCTGTGACCCCACACATATGCTGCTCGGGATTAAAATGAACAAACATAATAAACACTTTGCAAGTTCCTGACATTCTGTGCAAGAAAAAGTATTCTCCTGAACTGGATAATGGACAAAACTTCTGCAAAGTCTTTATGGCACAGGGTAATACTTTAATATGCACCACTGGACAACTTAACTTGTGTCTTTCATGAGAGGTGGGATGCATTTATGTTACATATGGGTTTAAACATAACCTCCATAATCATCAGAGGGCTGATTCAACAAGGTCAGATCTTGTGAAGGTTTGTGGTGCATGAAGATGCTATATCTCTAATTTTATTGATGCCTTTTATTTTATTATTATTTAACTATATATATTTAATTATTTCTCCCCATGTTCTGTTCACTTGTTTGTTGTTGTATCTGTATTGCTTAAAATGTAATAAATACATTATGAAATAGATAGATAGATAAATAAATAAATAAATAAATCCCCCTATAGCGCATGTGTTTGGACTGTGGGGGAAACCGGAGCACCCGGAGGAAACCCACACCAACATGGGGAGACCATGCAAACTCCACACAGAAACACCAACTGACCCAGCCGAGACTCGAACCAGAGACCTTCTTGCTGTGAGGTGAACATGCTAACCACTGCACCACCATGACTTGCTTAAAGTTATTGTGCTATTTGGAAAGGATCACAAATGTGAATCATAAAGCTCTTCAGACATCCCCGCTGCTTCAATACACTTCATGTATGTAAATAAGATATCTATTGTAAACTGCATCTGATCTGCACAGATCAAAACTCATATAACATTAAAAACTCCCTGATCTTAGTAATCAGACACCTCGGTGATACTGTGAGTTTATTCTTTTATTTAAATATATTAAGACATACAGAATGATAAACATTCACTGCATAGTACAGCTGTTTCCTTAAGGGACAGGTCACCCAAAACAAATACCGTTTACTCAGTATTTACTCTCCCTCAAGCGTTTCCAAACCTTTATACGCTTCTTTATTCTGTTGAACACTGAAGAAGATATTTTGTAGAATGCTGGAAACCTGTAACCACTGACTTCCATAGTAGGAAAAACAAATATTATGGCAATTCGACAGACAGAAAAAACTCAAATGAGGACAGAGTTCTGCTTTTAGGGTGAGCTGTCGCTTTATAATGAGAGTATTTTCCATCTGCTGGCCTGTCTGCTGCAGTTTGGCAGGTTATTCCACTGATACTTCTCAGTGTCTGTGATAAGATGCGTCTGATTCAGTGTAATTCAGCACACGTCCACTCTTATGTGTCCAGGTATGCTGCTTCTGATGATGAGGATGATGAAGAGGCTGACAGGAATAAAAGAGCAGATTGAGCTGGAGTTACTCTTAAAGTGAAGCAGTCAGTCATGTTTACATTATGTTTGTGAGTTAATTTTTACTTTAATGACAGTAAAAGGCAAGGCAAGTTTATTTATAAAGCACATTTCACACACAGTGGTAATTTAAAGTGCTTAACATAAACAAGAATACAAGAAACAAATGTAAGATCTATCAATCTATAATTATCATGACAGATAATGCTCACCGGTGCTCTAAAACTTACACTGAAACATGGCATTTTCTCCAAAATGCATACATTAATTGTGTATATAGATACACACACACACACACACACACACACACACAGTATATTTTTAGATACACTTTCTTTAGTGGAAACCGATTTAAAGGAACACTGTAAACTTGACTGACTGCTCCTCCTCTGCTTTAGGCATTTATTAAATTGCTAATATTTATAAAAGACACTGGTCCAAATTAGAGAAAGTGAGGAGTTATTGGTGTAAACTAATTACAAGCACTCATTGAATTCATTCATTGAATGTATGGAAACAAGTGAATAGATATATGAATTAATGAATGGATGAGTAAATGAATGCATGAATCATTGAATGTAATGAAACAAGTGATTAGATGGATGAATTAATGAATCGAGGAGTAAATGACTGAATGAATCGATAAATGAATATTATGTATAAGTTAATAGTTGGATGAATGAATGGATGAGTAAACAAATGAATGGATAAGTAAATTAATGAACGAATGAGTTAATAGATGGATTAATGAATTAATGGATGTATGATTGAATGAATGACTAATGAAAGAGTGAATGGACGAATAAGTAAATGAATTAATGAATGACACAATTGATGGATTAACGAACGAACAAATTAATGTAAGAATGGATGACTAATAGAATGAAAGAATGAGTAAATGAATGCATGAATGGATGGATGAATAAATGGATGATTGAATGACTTAATAGCTGATTAATGGATGAATAAATGAATGAATGTATGAATGGATGACTAATAGAATCAATGAAAGAGTAAAATAATGCATAAATGGATAAACGTATGGAAACAAGTGAATTGATGGATGTGTTGATGAATGGATGAGTAAATGTAAGAATAAGTAATCTGATGAATGAATATTATGTATGAGTGAATACTTGGATGAATGAATGGATGAGTAAATGAATGAATGGATGAGTAAATGGATGAATGAAGGACTTAATAGATGGATTAATGTATAAATGAATGGATGACTAATAGAATGAACGAATGAGTAAATGAATGCATGAAGGTATGAATGTATAGAAACCAGTAAATCGATGGATGAATTAATGAATGGATGAGTAAATGAATGAATGGATTGATGGATGGATGGATAAATATATGGACGAGTGACAGGATGAATAAATAAATGAGTAAATGGATAAATAGATGGATGAGTAAATGAATGAATGAGGTAATAGATGGATTATTGAATGAATGGATAAATTAATGGATGAATGGATGAATGAGTAAATGAACAAATTGATGAATGGATGAATGAATAAATGAACAAACTGATGAATGGATGAATAAATAAATGTATCAATGTATGAATGAGTGAATTAATGAATGAGTAAATGAATAATAGAATAGGTGGGTAAATAAATAAATGGGTCAATGGATAAATGAATGAATGAGTGAACAGATGAATGAATAAGTAATTGGAGGGAAGAATGATGGATGGATGAAGAGTGAAAGGATGGATGGATAAATAAATGGATGAAAAAATGAACGAAATTGATGAATGAATAAATGTATCAATGTATAATGAGTGAATGGATGAATGAGTAAATGAATGAATGGATGAGTGAATAGATGGATTAATGAATGGATGGATTAATGAATAGATAAATAAATGAATGAGTGAATAGACAGATAAATGAAATAATGGATGAATGATAGAGAGATAAAGAAATGAATGAGTGAATGGATGAATGAATAAATGAGTAAATGGGTGAATGAATGGATGGGTGAATAGATGAATAGATGGATGAGTAAATAAATGAATTTATGAGGTAATGGACAGCTTAATGGATGAATGTATGTATGGATAAATGAATGGATGAATGAAATAAATGGATGAATGAGTGAATGGATGGATGGACGAATGAATCGATGAGTACTGGACTGTAGGTGATTGCTTGTGTTGTATCGCTGCAGAGGGTTTATATGACACTATCTGACAATTCAATTTATAACTGCTGCTGATATTTATCTGTATATTTACATGTGTCCTGTAGTGTTTTCATGTAATCTGTACACACACTGAGACTGAGAGTAACATCACTGTAATTCTCTGCATGTCTATCCATAATCGACAAGAATTGGCAGAACTGACAAGAATACTGACTTTGACTTGACTATAAGTGCTAATGTGCGTTTGTACAGCAGAGGGCAGCAGTTGTACGGTAGATTTACAGTAGAGTGTCACCTGACTCCAGCAGCGTCTCAGTCTCTGATCTTCCAGCCTCTCCTCCTCCTCCTGTGTTTCCCCTTCCGTCTCCTTTTGCTGAAACATCAGGAAAAAATCATCAGGGACATTAATAGAGATGTTTATTTTTGCAATTTATATTTAGCAAGAGTGAATGAATGAATGAATGAACGAATGAATGAATGGATGAATAAATAGGTAAATGAATGAGTCAATGGATGAATGAAAGAGTGAATGGATAAGTAAATTAATGAGTGAATGTAAATTAATGAGTGAATGGAAAGATGGTTGTGTTGGTGGATGGATGAACGAATGGATGGAAAGAATGGATAGATGGAAGAATAGATGAGTGGATAGATGGGTGAATGAATAGATGAATGGATAGATGGATGGAGTGAAAAGGTGACTATTTTTAAATTAATATGTGAATGAATTGATTACCAAATAAATAGATTATTAATGAGAGAATGGATGAATAAATGGACGAGTGAATGGCTAGATGGATGAATGGATAGATGAGTAAATGAATGGTTGAATGGATGAGTGACGGGTGACTGACTGAATGAATATGTGAATAAATTGATTAATAAAACGAATACATTAATGAATGAGTGAATGGAAGAATGAGTGAATGTATGTTTGAATGGATAGATGGCTGAGTGTATGGAAAAATAAATGTATTAGATGGACAGATGAATAAATGAGTGAATATTCACTCATCCATCAATCCATTTATCCATCCATTCACTTATAAATGTGAATAAATGTGGTTATGGATGGCTAGAGGAATAAACGAGTCAATGGGTGAGTGAATGGAAAGATTGTTGAGTAGGTGGATGGATGAATGGATGGAATCGATGTATAAATAGATGTATAGATTAATGAATCAATAAAAAATAAGTGAATAAATGTGTGAATAAATGAACTAGTGAATGATGGATAAATGGAGGAATATAAGGGTGAGTGGATCGATGAGTGAGTGGATGAATGAATATGTGAATAAATTAATGACTGGATGAGTCAATGGATAGATGGATGGATGAATGAATGACTGAATAAATGGATGAGTGAATGGATGGATATCACACATCAGGATAGGGAAAAAAAGAGCAGTGTAAGCGGTCTTTCATGCTGAAATGGATAGGTGAGTGAATGCATAGATGAGGGAATGAACGGATGAGTGGATGGATGAGTGAAAAAGTGGGTGTGTACTCACTGCTGGTGCCTCTGCTGGTGTTTTCTGGGCCTGAATGTGAACACAGGTGAGATCAGCATAAGGCAGCTGCAGCTGTAGGTGTGTGTGCTACTGTGAGTATGTACTGTGCTATAGTAGGTTTGATTGGGCTACTGTACTATGATAAGTGTGGTCCTGTAGTATAGTACCGTACTATGATAAGTGTGGTAAATGTTACTGTACTACGGTAAGTGTAGTACTGTACCTGCACTCACAGCTCTGGTGCTCCTGAAAGGACAGAAGCACATAATCTCTGCGCCGCTCTGCTGGAGTGATCCTCAGCAGCTGAAACAGCACAGGGATATAACATGAGGACAGCATTTTACATTTATTTACATTTGTTTTTTAAAAAGGGGAGGAGCTACTATACACCCCACCCTCTCATCATGTTTCAGTTGACATTTAAATATAGACATTTACACATGATAAAGACACAGAGTTAGTCAGGATATAATTAATGTCAATATTAATGTTGGCCAGTTCATTAATGTTATTACCACGACTCTGTTACTCGTCAGCTCTGTTACTCGTCAGCTCTGTTACCGTCAGATCCGTTACCATCAGCTCTTGCTACTCGTCAACACTTGCTACTCGTCAACTCTTGACACTTGTCAACACTTGCTACTCGTCAACTCTTGATACTTGTCAGCTCTTGATACTCGTCAACTCAGTTACTCTTCAACACTTGCTACTCGTCAACTCTTGATACTTGTCAGCTCTTGATACTCGTCAACTCAGTTACTCATCAGCTCTTGATACTCATCAACTCTTGATACTCGTAAACTCAGTTACTCATCAACTCTTGATACTCGTCAACTCTTCATACTCGTCAACTCTTGATACTTGTCAACTCTTGATACTCGTCAACTCTTGATACTCATCAACTCTTGATACTCGTCAACTCAGTTACTCTTCAACTCTTGATACTCATCAACTCTTGATACTCGTCAACTCTTGATACACGTCAACTCAGTTACTCTTCAACTCTTGATACTCTTCAACTCTTGATACTCGTCAACTCTTGATACACGTCAACTCTTGATACTCGTCAACTCTTGATACTCGTCAACTCAGTTACTCATCAACTCTTGATACTCGTCAACTCTTGATACTCGTCAACTCAGTTACTCATCAACTCTTGATACTCGTCAACTCAGTTACTCATCAACTCTTGATACTCGTCAACTCTTGATACTCGTCAACTCTTGATACTCGTCAACTCAGTTACTCTTCAAATCTTGATACTCGTCAACTCTTGATACTCGTCAACTCAGTTACTCATCAACTCTTGATACTCGTCAACTCTTGATACTCGTCAACTCAGTTACTCATCAACTCTTGATACTCGTCAACTCTTTATACTCGTCAACTCAGTTACTCATCAACTCTTGATACTCGTCAACTCTTTGTACTCGTCAACTCAGTTACTCGTCAACTCAGTTACTCATCAACTCTTGATACTCGTCAGCTCTTGATACTCGTCAACTCAGTTACTCATCAACTCTTGATACTCGTCAACTCTTGATACACGTCATTTCAGTTACTCATCAACTCTTGATACTCGTCAACTCTTGATACACGTCATTTCAGTTACTCATCAACTCTTGATACTCGTCAACTCTTGATACTCGTCAACTCAGTTACTCATCAACTCTTGATACTCATCAACTCTTGATACTCGTCAACTCTTGATACTCGTCAACTCTTTATACTCGTCAACTCTTGATACTCGTCAACTCTTGATACTCGTCAACTCAGTTACTCTTCAAATCTTGATACTCGTCAACTCTTGATACACGTCAACTCAGTTACTCATCAACTCTTGATACACGTCTACTCAGTTACTCATCAACTCTTGATACTCGTCAACTCTTGATACACGTCAACTCAGTTACTCATCAACTCTTGATACACGTCTACTCAGTTACTCATCAACTCTTGATACTCGTCAACTCTTGATACTCGTCAACTCAGTTACTCATCAACTCTTGATACTCGTCAACTCTTGATACACGTCAACTCAGTTACTCATCAACTCTTGATACTCGTCAACTCAGTTACTCATCAACTCAGTTACTCATCAACTCTTAATACTCGTCAACTCAGTTACTCTTCAACTCTTGATACTCGTCAACTCAGTTACTCATCAACTCTTGATACTCGTCAACTCTTGATACTCGTCAACTCAGTTACTCATCAACTCTTGATACTTGTCAACTCAGTTACTCATCAACTCTTGATACTCGTCAACTCAGTTACTCTTCAACTCTTGATACTCGTCAACTCTTGATACTCGTCAACTCTTGATACACGTCAACTCAGTTACTCATCAACTCTTGATACTCGTCAACTCAGTTACTCATCAACTCTTTATACTCGTCAACTCAGTTACTCATCAACTCAGTTACTCTTCAACTCTTGATACTCGTCAACTCAGTTACTCTTCAACTCTTTATACTCGTCAACTCAGTTACTCATCAACTCAGTTACTCATCAACTCTTAATACTCGTCAACTCAGTTACTCTTCAACTCTTGATACTCGTCAACTCAGTTACTCATCAACTCTTGATACTCGTCAACTCTTGATACACGTCAACTCAGTTACTCATCAACTCTTGATACTCGTCAACTCTTGATACACGTCAACTCAGTTACTCATCAACTCTTGATACTCGTCAACTCTTGATACACGTCAACTCAGTTACTCTTCAACTCTTGATACTCGTCAACTCAGTTACTCTTCAACTCTTGATACTCGTCAACTCAGTTACTCGTCAACTTTTGATACTCGTCAACTCAGTTACTCGTCAACTCTTGATACTCGTCAACTCAGTTACTCATCAACTCTTAATACTCGTCAACTCAGTTACTCATCAACTCAGTTACTCATCAACTCTTAATACTCATCAACTCAGTTACTCTTCAACTCTTGATACTCGTCAACTCAGTTACTCATCAACTCTTGATACTCGTCAACTCTTGATACTCGTCAACTCAGTTACTCGTCAACTCTTGATACTCGTCAACTCTTGATACTCGTCAACTCAGTTACTCGTCAACTCTTGATACTCGTCAACTCAGTTACTCTTCAACTCAGTTACTCATCAACTCTTAATACTCGTCAACTCAGTTACTCTTCAACTCTTGATACTCGTCAACTCAGTTACTCATCAACTCTTGATACTCGTCAGCTCTTGATACTCGTTAACTGTTGATACCCCGTCAACTCAGCTACTCGTCAATTCAGCTACTCATCAACTCTGTTACTCATCAACTCTTGCTACTCTTCAACTCTTGATACTTGTCAACTCTTGATACTCTTCAACTCTTGATACTCATCAACTCTTGATACTCATCAACTCTTGCTACTCGTCAACACTTGCTACTTGTTAACACTTTTTACTCATCAACTCTTGCTACTCGTCAACTCTTGATACTTGTCAACTCTTGATACTCTTCAACTCTTGCTACTCGTCAACACTTGCTACTCGTTAACACTTGCTACTCATCAACTCTTGCTACTCGTCAACTCTTGATACTTGTCAACTCTTGATACTCTTCAACTCTTGATACTCGTCAACTCTTGCTACTCGTCAACTCTTGATACTTGTCAACTCTTGATACTCTTCAACTCTTGATACTCTTCAACTCTTGATACTCTTCAACTCTTGATACTCGTCAACTTTGTTACTCGTCAACTCTTGCTACTCATCAACTCAGCCACTCGTCAACTCAGCTACTCGTCAACTCTTGATTGTCCTCAATAGTGATGGTGAAATGAAGCTTTCTGAACCAGTGAAGCGTTTGACTCAATTGTATCGGAAAAAGGTTCGTTACTCGAAGCTTTCTAAATCAGAGCTCGATGAGGACCTCTTCTGGTGAAAGTGTGGGAAAGCACTGTATTGCCATAATGTCAAATGTTCACAACTGACCAACTCATTCATGTAGTAATACAACAACAGCAATATAAACAAATTACTCAATTACTGTAGTTGTTACACAAGATATATTACATTACACAACTGATGACTGTGGTAAAATCCAAGGTATTCAAAAGTTTATCATAATATAATTAGTTCTGCTACAAGCGGGGATCGAACCAGCGATTCCTGCATAGGAGGCGAGTGCATTAGGAGGTGGCTATGTGAATGATGCTCCAGAGATGCACTCACCAGATCGTCTGTGTTAAAGACAATACTACGATATGCGGTGGTTTTCTTTAAAGATAGTAGTAAAAAAATTCACTAATACACTTTAGTATGGTTCAAAACATTTTTACTAAAAATTACTATTGTATTTTAGTTTAATTACTGGTGTGTGGGACTGGTGCAGTGCTTTGAAACAGTACAAATGTATGTAATCGATGCCTAATCTCTCACTATACACTTTACTATGAGGGTGTTTAAACCTTTGAATCAAAATTCGAAGCAGTCACGTGGGTATAGGCGAAAATGAAGCTTCGGACGTCAATGATCACGTGATGATGGCAAAACGAATCAAGCTCCGGTACACTGCTTCACTGCGAGATGTATCGTTTTTTTGATAAATGCTTCGAAGCCTCGGCGCACAACGTCACATCACTAGTCGTCAACTCAGCTACTCGTCAACTCTTGATACTCATCAACACTTGATACTCTTCAACTCTTAATACTTGTCAACTCTGTTACTGCCAACTCTCCGTCAGCTCTTACCGTCAACTCTGTTACTCGTCAGCTCTCCATCTACTCTGTTACTCTTCAATTATTACTCTCAACTTTGTATCCCTGTTACATAACCCCTGCTACAGTCAACACCCTTTCATTACAGAATCAACATTGAAGCATTTAACACCATTAACATTGATGGATTTGGTTGACTATAAATTGTATATTTGTTGTTTTTCATTAAAGTTTGAGGAATTAAACTTTAAGCAATACTGGAACTTACTCATCTTCAACAGGAACACAGGATATATCGGTAAATGCATATGTATAAGAGAATGTCAGTAGTGTAGTGTGTGTTATAGTGCTGAAGCCGCAGTCCTGCCTGTATGGAGATGTTGCTCGTGCTGACGGGGAAGCATGCAAGTTTTTCGTCGTTGCAGCAGCCGGAGCAGCGCAGCAGCGGGACGCACCCGGGACTGTAGATGTGCTCCACTGCGCCGGGATACTCCTGCTCCACGTACACCATCTGCTCGAGACAGCGGCACTGACTGCGGGCCCACGCCTCCTCAAACAGCAGCACTGCATACACACACAGAAAGAAATGCATGCACACACACAGAAACAGACACAAAAACACACATTATTATTATTATCTAATAACACCATCCACAGGTGATTTCTGCTCTCCTCCACTGGTCACCAGCACCACTGCTGAACACACTGTCAGATGTTGTGTGAGTGTGTGTGTTTGTTTATCAGGTGTATGTCCTTCTCAAGCGTCTTCTGTGTGTAACACTAGTGTCCTCCACCTCTCCTTCTCCGGTTGTGTTCTGATGTGATGTCTGACTGTTGTAGCTGTGAAATAACTCTAATCATTCAGTGGAGTAATATGGAACTGTAATGCACTCTAAACCTGCCGGAACTACTTTAGCTGTGCCTTTTATCTGACAATAACCAAACACCTGAGAGAATCAAGCATTCAGCAGAGGTGTAA